AAAGACATGTCGAGCGCAACTTGTTTTTTTTTTTGTAGGAAGACCGTTAGGATCGGTTATTTTCGATCATTATAAATAGAAGGACCTAGCGTTAGGATCTGGGTGTTCAAAGTTGTACAAAATTTCTAGAATTGCTCAAAGTACTCGTGTGCAGAGAAAAGAGTGTGTCAAAAAAATGTATGTTTGACAAACACCATATTTTTTACACTTTAATTCAAGTTTCATCTTTTTACCACAAGTTTAACTTTTATTGCTCAAGTTATTTTTCAATGCATTTAATTGCTTTTGATTAAGTTTCTGAAATTTACTTTCTTTGAATTTTGAAGTTTGATAACGGTTAGATCATGAGTATTGTTGAAATATTCACCATTTTTCAAACTTTAATTTAATTTTTACTAGCACATGTCTTAGGATTTGTATGGTTGATCCTGTACGTAACCCAATTATTTTTCGATTTGGAAAGACCAGCAGTTGTTTACTAATTTTCACGGTAAACAGACATGTTTCGTCTTCAACAGACATCCCTCCCTCAACTTCGAATAAAGATAGGGCAGACAAGCCCCCCACCTAGTTGTACCCATGGATCTGTTGTAGATCCAATGTCGTAATGTGGCTCATGCATATTGAAAAAACTTGGTATGATCGTCATTTTGAGACAACAAACAAGTCATATACTAAGTGTAAAGTATGTTATATGTGATTCCTACATATTTATAATCTTAATCATTGAGTTCTACACATTTACACTAAAACTCGAAATTTATTCGAAAACTCAAAGATTTACCTGAAATTTATGGTTTTAATAATGTTGAATGATGTTATTGATGATGTTTGATGTTCCTTTAAGCCATGTTTGATTAAAATTATTGTTGTGAAGAAGTTGAAATTTTATGTTTAGAAGAGTATGAGAAGAGTTTGAGAAGTGTATGTTGAGAAGTGTGAGGGAGGAGAATAGTCTGACGCGAGTTAAGCTCAAAATTATTCTGGATATATATCTCCAAAATATTTCAACATTCATTGAACTTAGGGTGTGTCCAAAAATGTATCTTCAAAATTAGAAGGCATGTGTGAAAATTCACATGATGCACTAAAAACATATATGGTGCAATAAGAAATTCACAACTATATTAGATATGTTTTGTGATTGTGTGGATCCATCATCAACTTTGGTTGACAACACATGATAGTATATTGATGTGTTTTAAAATGGTGTGTGTGTGTGTGTGTGTGTGTGTGTGTGTGTGTGTGTGTATATATATATATATATATATATATATATATATATATATATATATATATATATATATATATATATATATATATATATATATATATATATATATATATATATATATATATATATATATATATATATATATATATATATATATATATATATATATATATATATATATATATATATATATATATATATATATATATATATATATATATATATATTTGTTGCTAGAAATTATCATACAAACTTAATTCACAACTATATTAGATATGTTTTGTGATTGTGTGGATCCATCATCAACTTTGATTGAGAACACATGATATTGGTGTGTTTTGAAATGGTATATATATATATATATATATATATATATATATATATAATAATTTCCTTACTTGGAGTATAAGGGTAAGGGTTTGAATCACCATTTACTTAGAGTTTTAAATAAATAATTTTTAAGAATGATATATACTTAAAAATATATATTCTTAAAATAATAATAAAAATATAAAAATGACGTGTAATTAATTGTTGTAAATGTGATGGTGTCCCATCATCAATTTGATGGGACATATCATTAAAATTTGACCTTATATTGAAAGGGGACTACAATTTCAAAGTTTATAGACAAACTTTAAAGAAAAAAAAATTATAATAGAGATACTAAAATTACAATTAAACTTAAAAAACATGAGTAATGTGTTAGAATTTTTGTCTAAAATAAAAGTTATAATATCCGCAACTCGGTCAGACTAAACTTCAGAATTTTAATAGACCGAGCTTAAAACTCCGAGTAATAAACAAGTTTAATTTTGTTAATAGTTGTTTAAGGCGGCCTAAATATTGTTTTGCCACCCACCAAAGTGAAAAACAAATACTACCTCTAAAATTCGGCTATGCATCTCCGAGAGCACCTCAATTTTCCACAATTAAGTAGTTTTTTAGTCACGTTCCAATTCTATGACTAAATTTAATTTGGAAATGCATCTTTGTATGCCTTGCATAAGTGCATTTCTGAAACCTATTGAACAAGAAACAAATGTAGAAACGAAGATAAATAATATCTTTGATCGGTATCGCAATTGTCGCATCCAGCTCGATCGGACCTTTTGTTTCGTAACGGTTGAATGTATTCCACATAACCCTTAAATTTGCATCTGTCTTCAGCTCAAAGTTGTTGAAATGAATCTTCCATTAGTTGACAATTGACCTTCATCTGCACAATCCACCGTTCGCAGTTCTCACCTTTAAAATTTGGTTGATTCGCTGAAAATTGCGTTGATGTTGTGTTTTTGTTTGCCATTACGGATTCTCTCTGAATCGCAACCCAGACTTCTTAATATCAATTTGTTGGAACAAACGAGTTTTTAAAAAAGATGAGAGAAGAAGAAGAAGAGAGAAAAAAGAGGAAAATTATATACTGAATTTGTGAAAAGTGAAATCTTTATTAAGTGAAGTTATTGTTTACGTCATATCATGCCTTTTATATTGGTAATTAAAACACATACCCAAAACTTAAAAAGTACAAAATATAAAAACTACAATTTGCACTTCGACATAATAACTATATGTGTTATTCGACACAGTCGAATGTTACCTTTCTACAAAACTATAAATTACAACTATCATGTTTCACATCTATTATAATTTTTTTTTAAATAAAAATTTAAGTTGGAAAAGTCATGCAAAGAAACACTACCATATATATGACTGAAGTAGTTGTTACAATATTTGAGTGATTGTCACTCCTAAGGTATTTTTTTATAAGTTAGAAGATATAAAGAAGAAGAAAAACATAAAATCAACTAAATAAAATAAAATTTCACTACCATCAACTGATAATTTTAACTGAAGACTTTGTAAATAATTGTTATGTCGCATCATTAACAACCTCGTATTTTATTAGATAGTTAGCACAAACATTTCTCTTCCTAAGAGTATGAAATAATTGAACTCGTCATTCTTTAGAGAGAATATTTTTAATGTTGTGAAGAATCGCGACATAATAATACAAAACATCAGCAGATTTTGAGATAAGCATGATAGCAAAGTTGAAATCATAATAGCACATCAGGTTTTTGATGCCAAGTTCCCAGACCATACATAATCCATGATATAGCGTCATTAGATCAGCATGAAGAATGTAGAAAAAACCAATATTACTCGCAAAATCATGAATCCAAGCACCATCAGTATTTCGAATCAATCCACCAAAATCCAAGACGTCGGAATTACCAAGACTACTGTCATCAATATTCAAAATTATATTACTATCTTTGTGTGCATTTCACATAATCGTTCTCATTGGATCAGACTGATTATGCTTGAGAAAACATTTAATTAATAGATTAGCTAATTCACTGTGATGAGTATCAAAGTATAAGAAGATATCACTTCATTCGCAAGACACAAATTGTTCCTAGTGTGTCACAACCACTAGCAAATAACTAAAAAAATAAAGGCATCATTAGTGTCAGGTTTAATCCAATCATATAAATTATCCTTTTAGAAGATTAGGGTCCAAAAAACTAATAGATTTTTAAAGGTGAGTAGCAAATTCACAGTCTCTCAGACAACTAGTGTCGTTCTAATTTTTTGATTGCGTTTAGAGCATAAATTCTTCTGGAGCCTATCACGATAACACAACATTGATCTTATAGACTTGTAGCAAATTCACTTCCTAAGGTATTTGTCTAAGAGTAGGATCCAAAAAGCCAATAGATTCCTAAAAGACGAGTAGCAAATTCACAGTTTTTTGATTGCATTTAAAACATAAATTCTTCTGGAGCCTATCACGGTAACACAGCATCAATCTCATAGACCTGTAGCAAATTCACTTTCTAAGGTGTGAAGTGTAGGTATTTGTCTACACTTCACAGATGTCCCTACTTATAAGATTAAAATTGTATTTAGCCTAAAACTCGGAGAAAATAATAGCATAATAAGTTCAAAAAACAATATAAAATAATGTGCTTATTGCTAACAAAGTCGAGACAAAATAGAACTACTTAGATTTACATTAGTGAAGCAAGCAAAGCAAAGATATATAAAGATATATATTGTAGCATATAACTATGAGCCAAAAGCGAAGGGGATAAGGATTTTGTAATGCACACAAATATACGGAAAAACAGTAAGAAAGGTGATTTAAGACAGGAAATAATACAAAATGGTGTCTTGACCCTCTAGACATTTTGCAGCTATTACTGGTTTGGATTTAGCAAATAACACCTTTGAATAGGGCTTTTGTTGGAGGCATGTTGAATCAAAAGATGCTGCTATCCTATGAGTATGATTTCAGGTTGGCTTCACAAAGCTCTTTTGACAATTGAAATCATGGAAGATAAAAAAAATATCATTCACGATCTCCAAAAATGTGTAACTCAGGCGTTGAACTTCAGAGTTTTGTTTTAATCATAAGCAATAGAAAAATAAAACCACCAACTCAGGTTAACAAATGTAGACGAGGCCATTTATAAGCCACACAGCCATATGATACACTATAAGCCATACAGCCAAAATAGAACTCGTGAAAAATATAAAGCTCAAATCGTACTGCACCAGTAAATATAAATAAATTGAAAAGACAGATACTAGACTAACATCCGATTGAGTACAATTTGTTAGTTCCTATCAACTTTTTAGAAAACATTTCAAGTACTATAACAAGTTGATGCTTTCATTTTAGACACTGCAATGCCATACAGGGAACAAAAATATTAAACCACCAGCTCAAAGGACAATCATAACCATCACAAAAATATCAACTTTGGGGGGACGCTTTAGCAACACCACCCGGTTGAACAGGCGGTGCAGCTGCCCCATCACTAGCATACACGGGAGGCTGAGTATAACCAGCACCATAAGAACTGTTTCCATACGATGGTGGAGTCTGACCATAGCCAGGCTGGCCACCTTGAGGAGCACCATATGATTGAGAACCATATCCTGGTTGCACTGGTGGCCTCTGAGTGCCTGACTCTGGCTGAGCATATCCAGAAGGTGGGGCCTGGGTAGGGGGATACGCTGACTGACCATAACTTCCCGCGGTGCCAGGTGACTGTGATTGACCATACGCAGTAGGATTTGCAGTTGGCTTTTGAGATGGAGGGGCACCATAACCAGATCCATAGCCAGATTGTGGTTGATTTCCATAGGCCGCTTGGGAGGCAGGGGCAACCCCATAACCTGGTTGAGGAGTTCCTTGTTGGTTGGCAGCATAGCCTTGTGGGGCAACAGTAGAGGGTTGCGAAGTTTGGGACGAATCTGCCTGTGAGCCATAGTTGGAAGTGAGACCTTCTTGTGTTGGGTTACTCCCACTGCCATAGCTGGGAGCAGAGCCATAACCTTGTTGATCATATGTTGGGGGCTGACCATACCCGGATTGTTGTGTTGCATTATACGCACCATAGCCTTCCTGACCATAACCCTGTCCTGGTTGGCTATAACCAGTGGAAGGTGGCTGACTGTAGTTGTATGCAGACCCATCAGCTGGCTGAGCAGGACCCCCAGGATTTTGCTGTTGCTGGGGCTGTTGATTGTAATAATCATAACCACTTGCAGACTGCTGGTGAGATGGTGCAGTGGACTGATCCCAATTGGCAGGGTACCCACCAGGTTGCTGGGGAGGATAGCCTGAGTATGGGGGCTGAGGCATGTTATACTGTGGTGATGGACCAGAGTATGATCCAGGTTGCCCATAGCCATAACCAGGTTGTTGCGCAGGAGCAACAGGGGGAGCCCAGCTAGATGGTGGACGGGATTGGTAGCCTTGCTGATTGTAACCACCAGAGTTCCCTGAACCTCTGAGACGATTCTGCAGAGAGAAACATTACAACCACAACTTAAAAAGGCAAATTCACCCAAGACACGACACAAATCAATACATACACACAAAATAGGTAAAAAGTGCATAAATAAAAGGAAGCACAAACCATAGAAGTAGACAAACAGACAATCTTAATTGCTTCAAAAGAGCAATCTACTATATAGTGTCAAAATGTGCAGGACCTCATTTCAATTGGTATGATTAAAAATTAGTTATAATTTAATAAAACTGATTGTTAAGACAGCAAGTGTTTAACTCACTACAAAAACTAATACATGAAACAAAATCCAAATATACAGACTGTAAAGACAACTTTACTAAACCCCGAGTGCATAGATACATTCTTCTTGACCTTCCCTCGACCCAATCTAACAGGTCAATCTAAAAGTGAACTATGAAATAATAGCAAATAAAACTGATTGGAGAGTGCCATTATATTTATAATTGAAAGTGAATTTAAAGTACGAGTAACAAACCCATGCACATAACTATTATGAGTTCTTATGAGCAATCAACAGAAAAGCACAAATGGCATGTTGAACAGAATTTCAAACAAAAATATTTATTATCCAGTCTAATGATGACACTTCAGAGTCAAAAGACACTAATGAGGCTTATTACACTGATGATAATAAATATCAAAACTGGGTTGTAGAACCAAAGCTGAGCATTCTGTGGGGACACTAACAGTGAGATTCATGTTGGTGTTACCAATTATTCATTAGACACTATACCCCTACAATAGTCCCAATAAAAGGTCACTCATAGGATATACAATTAATAAGCATTTTCCTTTGTGGAAAAGCTTAGAATCCCAATGAGTATCCACTACGAACTAAAAAACAATAACTTATTAACAGTGTCCTTCATTGCCCCAACAACCTAACCACAAAAAGAACAAACAAGCATGCTACGAGAAAACTAGACCACGACTAAAAGGCCATCCTTGCAAGAACTGATCCACTTAGAGAATGACTAAGAGACAGTCTCCCAAATTTTAAGATGTACAAAAAGAGATAATGACTAAGAGACCGAGTCTCCAATGTACTATTGTCTATTTTATAACTTAATGGGAGACTGCAGATAGACACCAAAAATGGATAAATTTTTTGCAGGGGCTTAACTCGAAATATCCATAATTTTATAAGGTAATTGTATAAGAACTGCCAACAAATTAATTTGCTAAAACAAAACATGGTTATAAATCCATAACTTTATACTTAAACCAGACATAGCATGTCACGATAAAAAATGATATCCCAAATAAAACAGACACACTGTTGATAGCATACCTCGCCAGTGATGATTTGATTAACCAATTGCTTTGCTGATTCAATTTGATCAGGAGTCCCATCAATTTTTAATGTTCTTTCGGTTGATGTATCGCCTGGGGGAAGATGCAGAGGTATAACCTGAAAAAATAGACATTAGTTATCAAAAGTTACTAAGAATGGAAAATCCAAGTCTTGAGACATGAGTTGGGGCAGTCAGCTGTTAACCTTAACAGCATCCAACTTTAAACATAATTATGATTTAGATAATATATAATAAAAGAAGCAAAGAAAACAAAGGAACAAGAGATAACCTGAATCCGTGCTCCAGTAGAAGCTTGCATACTCTTAATTGTTTCTCCTCCTTTACCAATTATAAGGCCGACCTAAGAAACCAAATCAACTATAAACAAAACACTGCAGAAAGTACATGCGTTCACATATTTCGAGCAACTTTGCACACCTTATTGTTTGGGATTTGCATCGAAAATTCATCACCCCCAGATTGTGCAGCCATCCGTCTAGTACCACCACCGGCAGAAGCCCCCGCTTCAGCCTAGCAAAGAAGCCTCTTATCAGTTATGTTCCACTAACAGGTTACACTTACACCGATTTGAATATCAATTGAGCAAAGTTATCATAAAAAAACACTACCGTCAAAAAAATATCATCAAGGATGCTTCACTAACAGGTTACAGTTAAAGCCATTCGAATTCAAATATCATTCAAGCAAATTCATCATGAAAAAATTCATACTAAAGTTAGAAAATCAGTTCAAAACAACTCTTATCTTATCAGTGATATTTCATCAACAGACTACCATTAAAGTGATTCCACAACATGATTAGCAAATTTATCAGGAAATACTTGATATAAATTGAAAACAAACCTCGGCAAGGACTTCATTGATAAGTTTCTCAGCAGAAGCAACAGCATCAGAAGTCCCCATAAGCTCAACCATCCTCGTAGTAGAATTAGGATCCGCATCCATATCCCGAGTAACCTGAATCTTAGCCCCAGACTGCAACTGAAGATACTTAATAGTCTCACCTCCTTTCCCAATAAGAACCCCAACCCTCCCATTAGGTATCTCAATCTTCTTACTAGAACCACCATAAGAACCAGCTGAATATTGCGGCTTCAAATCGTAGGAATCGAATCCAGATTGTGGAGCACCATTATCAGACTTGGAACGTTTAGGATCGAAGGAAAGTGGAGGAGCGCCGCCGGTGACACTGAGGAGTCGAGCGGCGACTTCTTGAGCCCGCTGTTTAGCGTTCGCGACTTCGAGTTCAATGTCGGTGGCGGTGGGTTGGTCTTCGTATTTGCGTTTTAGGGCATATTGTGGTTCTTCCGCCATCGTCACAAACCCTAGAAGACGAAAACGAAATCGCGCTCGGAGAAAATTGGATTAGGTTATATTCGATTCAGCTGCGAGTTGGATATATAGTCACCTGGTATTGCGGCGTCGTTTTATACTACTAGTGCTCAATTATAGTCAATAAAAGAGTCACAATGCTACTGGCTGGCCCTTTTTATGACACATAGATAAATCTTTTTGCATTCATTAAAAATATTTATATCAAATCTCAAATGTCGTATTATAATTTTGAATTTTTCACCTAAATAACCAATATTTCACCTCTAAATTTCAATATACCTAACATTTCACCATATATACTAATATACATATGTTTCACGTTTTTTTTTAATTTGTACAGGGGCGCCATGAGTGTTGGAGGCACCTTATAAATTATAGGGGGTGTCATCTCCTTTGAAAGCACCATATAATTTATAAGGGGGGCGTCATCCCCTTGGAGGCACCCCTTATGAGTTAAATGGAGGTGTCATCCTCTTTGGAGCCTCATTTATTTCATTTAATTTTGTAATTCTAATATAATTAATATTTAATATTATTTTAGACCAAATTTTTTTGTATAAATAGTTAAATTTGTTTCATTCAAATTAACATTGTTTCATCCAAATTTAGGAGAGTGAGTCATGTATCTTATAAGATATGGGCATGTAATTTTTTCAAGAACGAAGCCTCCGATAAGGATGTTGTTTTGGAACATCCAGAGTTTAGAGCAACTACGAAGAAATTTGAATCGGTGGTTAGAAGGAGACATTCCAAATGGTGAAAGCATTAGGAGTATTCAAAGACTTGTCTCGTACTTCTCTGTTGAAGACGGAAATATACAGCGGGAGTGGGTGTGAATTAGAGATGACAACGCAGTTAGGTCTATGATGTTCGGAACTGATGATATTACTTTGATTGTTGTTATATCTTAGTTTATGTTGTAATAATCGTTATATTTTTAATGATTTGCGTTATTGCTGTAGAAGTCTTACAATTTGTTTATGTGGTAATCAAAAGTTGTTATAAATATTAAATTTCAAGGTTACACATGTGTTTTTAATGACCAAATTAAATCTATCTATAACTTGTTCCAACATTTGGACAATTATTCCTCGTATGCCCGGGAAGACGACATATTCCGCACAATCTTTCCATTTTCTCAGTTGTATCCATTTCAGTTGTAATTCGCGTGCTTTTGAGCGACCCTTTTTGTTTCTTCCCATATTTCTGTTGTGGTAGATTGTGTCTCCATGATAGGTTGGCCAATATTCCTCACTAGCTATCACTGGAAAACTGTTATTGTAGATACCGAATAAGTTCACACGACCTTATAAACTTCTGATAGTTGCAAGAATGGATCGTGACGAGCACTGGAACATGCGGCAATGACATGTGAACAAGGTATGCAGAAGGTTTGAAACTTTCTGCAGTCGCACCAATTTTTATGAATTTCCACCCTGTAGTGTCCCATTGGCCGACCCTCGTTGTGATCCATTGTCTCATCAACAATGAAGTTGTAATCGTGACGATTAAATGGTCTAACTCGATGTGAGGCCGCCTTAGAAGTTTCATCCTTCATATATTTCATACATGATTCGCTGAATATTTGACCTGATTCCAAAACAGCGCTCCATTTTTTGCCTCTTGCCGCAAAAAGTGACCTCAATTTGTAATAGGTTGCTCTTACCAACGCAGTGATGGGGAGATTCCTAGTTCCCTTAAATACGTCGTTTAGGGATTCTACAAGATCTGTGGTTATGTGACCCCATCTGCATCCTCCATCAAAAGCCCTTGTCCATTTCTCGACTGGAATGTTATCCACCCACCTTAATGCCTTTGTGCTTGACAATCTAATTTATTCGCGGTAATACATGAACGATGGTTGGTTTAAGGCATATCCAGCGTTCACAATTTTTTTACGGAGATTTCTGTCTTTCATTTCCCGCATAAAATTCTAAGCAATGTGTTTTATGCAGTAGACATGGACAGAAGGAGGATTGTGCCAACCATTAGCAGGATTGTTGTAGGCGCTTATAATAGAGGCATGTCTGTCGGAAATCAGACATAAGTTGGGTTGTGGAGTGACATGTATTTTGAGATTTCTGAGGAAGAAACTCCAAGCTTCACTTGTCTCACCCTCGACCAGGGCAAAGGCAATCGGAAATATATTATTATTTCCGTCTTGTGCAACCGCCATCAACAATGTTCCTTTGTATTTTCCATACAACCATGTTCCATCGACTTGAATAACCAATATGCAGAACACAAAACCTTTGATACATGGTTGAAATGCCCAAAAAAGACGAGAGAATATCCTACTTCCATAAACACATGTTCCTTCAGGAGTGTATGCTGGTAGTGACTCCAATATCACAATCGTACCAGGAACATATTTTTGAAGTGCTAGTAAATATTGTGGAAGTTGATTGTAAGATTTTTCCCAATTCACATATACATGTTCAACATCTTTTATTCTTCTAATCCAAGCTTTCATGTACGATGGAGCATAGTTGAACCGTGCAACAACATGAGAGATAATTGTGCTCACCTTCACAGATGGATCTACGCCCACAAGATGCAAAATCTCTTGGGATATCAATTGAGAGCTTAGTTTTCCATGATCTTGCCGATTGATGTTGGTTGTGCAACTATGAGGTGGATCCATCGAACCTATCTTCCAACAATCACTTCTTTTCCGATAGGACGCTGCTAACTGAAACTTGCAACTTGCGTTACGACAAACTACGACATAGCATTTTAAATCATTCCGATTGATGTAAAAATCAACGAAGTTATCCATATGAAACTTTCTTATAGCTTTCATGCACTCTTCTTTTGTTCGGTACTGGTTTCCCACTTTCAAAACACCTTCAATTTGTTGAGAAGGATTGTAGAAAACATCTGAGGAAGTATCGTATCCACTCATTTGCAAGTTCGTCATATGTTGGGGAGGACAATACATATGACTTAATGGTAGTGTCTCCTCATCTATGTCTTGAACCGGAGTTAGTACAGTAAAGTCCCTAGTCCCGAACAAATTAACCATTTGATCAACCATGGCCTCAGGTTCTTCTTCCTCCTCGTCCACAACATCAACTTCATCTACATTCGTTGTTTCACCAACTTCATGTTGAGTTTGGCAGAGTAATAGATAAACCTCGATATAGTCGAACCCAGAGTGTTCATGACTATCAAACATTTGATCTACATCGCTGTCGTCTTGTATTTTCTCTTAAAAATACTTGACCCGATTGTTGTCAAGAAAACGAGACTTTGTATATGATTTGAGAGATTGGATCAGACAATATCTTCGACTCTATTCGCTCTTTGAAATGCAAAAAATTTGATTTTCTACTCATTGTTAATCGGGTAACATCTGTATTTTTACTATAAATACTTCTCCTCCTCATTGTCAAAAACTCATCAAATATTTTCTTCATATATTCACACTATATTTTCTTCATATATTCACGCTATAGAAGAAATGTCTCTGTTAACATTGGGTGAAATGCATAGAGGAACACCAAGCAACATCGCGTCTTATGTAAGTATTTGTACCCGATAAATACTTCACAATATTGTATTGATTTGTAGCATTCTACTATTGTTATAAATACAATGTTGTAATGATTTGTTTTATTGATTTGTAGAATACTCGTGACTTCCGTACTCGTGGGCATAAACATTTCCCACATGACCCGATAATTCAACTATATTTGGCGCGCGCAGGATTTGGAGAGGTCATCAAAATAAAGAATTATCTCCTTGATACCAAGTTCATTTTAGCACTTCAAGAAAGGTGGCGACCCGAGACGCATACATTTAATCTTCCAATAGGTGAATGTGTTGTTACTCTCGAGGACACTTATATGTTATTAGGTTTACCCATTAATGGTAAGGCGGTAAACAGTCTCACAAATCCTAGCGGTAGTGTGATAGAAGAACTTTTAGGGGTTGAACCAACCCCAAGAGATTTGAGGGGCCAAAAGATATTATTATCATGGCTCAAAAAAAAATTTGGAGAGATGAGGTTAACCCGAGATTCTCCAGAAATATTGAAAATTAGAAAAACAAGAATTTATATTATGCTACTAATAGGTTTATTTTTATGTCCGGATTCAAGTGGTAACATTGTTCATCCTATGTATTTAGTTTTATTAGATGATATAGATAAAATAAGAACATATAGTTGGGGGTCTGCTACACTAGCGCACCTATATCGGTCTTTGTGTAACAATGCAATAGCAAATTCGGGAAATTTTATCGGATGTGGTGTTCTTCTTCAAGCTTGGGGTTGGTCAAGAATGACCAATCTAGCACCTATCCAACAAAATAATTTCGAATTCCCATACGCTACAAGGTAATTACTTAGACCAAGAATGACCAATCTTTCATAGTCTTTTAGGTGGTCTTCACTTGGGATGAATTACGACAACTGTCCCCATTTCAGTATCACCCAGTACATAAATCTTATAGATCATTTGGGTCAAGATGATGTAAATACTAAATATTATTAGAATATAGTCTCCTTAGCCTACCTATTTAGAATATAGTCTCCTTAAATATTATTAGAAAATACTAAATATTTTTTCCTACAGTTTATTTGGCGGCCATATCTTGGTGTAGAAGTCATTCATGAAGTTAACCAACACGACTCTGCAGTGTGAAGTGCAAAGGTGTCGATTATCAACTTCGTGGAGATGCACAACAGTGATCGTGTCAAGCTTCAGTTTGGAATGCTTCAAGATATTCCATGTCCGCCAAAATGCATCCCCGACAAATATCACACTGGTAAAGTCTCCGACTAATGGGAATATTCTCCATGGACCAAGTATGCAAAACATGAGTGTCGTGAATGGAGGCATCGCAACCATTTTGTTTTGTCCGATATTGTGTTTCCATACGAGAGAAAACAGTATGTCCAATACATGAATTGGTATAAGTCGGTATCCATTGGTTTCATTTCGCATCCAAGATATCTTGTTGACCCACACCAACAA